GGGGGGGGGGGGGGGGGGACATGGTGCCATCATGGTACATTCATGCAACCCACAGCCCAGGATCCTATGACAGACACTGCTGTGCTAATGACCCACACTGTCCTACAGGGTGTGCAGCCCCCTGGTTGGACAGCCTTGCTGTAAGGCAGGGGTGGGCAAAATGTGGCTCAGGGGCCGGATGTGGCCCGCCAGACCATTCTGTCCGGCCTGCAGGGCCCCCTCAAAATTAAGAAAATTAATATTTATCTGCCCCTGGCTGCTTGCCATGCGGGCCTTGATGGCTTGCCAAAACTCAGTAAGCAGCCCTCCGCTCTAAATAATAGCCTGCCTCTGCTGTAAGGGAAGAATGGCAGGAGCCCCAGCCACTGTAAGATACAGTATACTGAATTAGGTGGATTTATAGTATGATTCAGTATAAGACATTCTTCATATTACTACGGCAAAGCATTAAGTGCTGAAGCCTAAGAGTAGGTGCCTGTGTAACCAAATTGGATCCATCCCTAAGTGACTATTTCTATCAAATACAGTAAATAATGGTTTATAACAGCAATATTTTATATATTTGATATAAATATCCCTCATTTAACAGAATTACTTGAATTGGCAAATGTGACATTTTCACAAAGCTGAATGTTAGTGAGTTACACCCACCCAAAATCATTTGTAAATTGCTAATTCTCAATCTATTTTTTGATCATTGCCATCAGCTGAATACTACGTACTTGCTATGTACTTGATAAACTTTTAAGACTTCCCATGCAAATTCATGGAATACTCACAAATACTTAATAAAAGCCATACATTTCACCCCATACATTTTCCCACTCAGCAGTAATTGACAGTGCGCCTGTGACTTAGAGGTGCAAGTTTCTGGAAGATAAAGATCAAAAACACCATTAAAGTAGTCATTCATTTGACATAAAGAGGAAAACAAACTGAAGTTGGTCTACTGTACCCATCAGAAATTGGCTCTAACTGGGAGAACTGTGTAGCATGGTATTTGATATTCCTAGCAGCTATAAACTCAAATTTAATGGACTCTTCAGGCTTCACTGAAAATTGTGTTAAACACATTTTTAAATGTTTTTTTCTTTTTTAGTATAAAAGAAAGCTATAGTTCAATTATTGGAGTATATATGTTTGCTTTACATAACTGGATTGGAAGAGCTGGTGAAAAATATTTGTTAAGCTTGCTTTATTCAGAAAAAAAATATTCTGGTACAAAGTCAGTTTTATAATTAATATTAAAAAAAAGATGCTGGCAGAACTATTTTAGTATAAAAGCAGAGTTTTCCATCTATATGATATGCCTAGGGAAAAGAAATATTACCTAGCACTGAAATGAATGAAGAGGATTTGTTTGTTGTTTTCAGGAGTGTTCCATGTTGTCAAGTTGACTATTGTGCGTCAAATTCATTCAGATACTGTTCTTTTGCACATTCTTTGTTAATAAGACAAGTCAATGTTGCAGATTTTATCCTTTGGCTAATTTTCCACTGGATGAGTAAAATCAAAATACCTTGCAAATAGGATCCCTGGGCCAATATAATTATACCTTATTTTATTTTAGCAATAAAAAATAGTGGTCTAGTTGAATTCATACCTGTTCTGAATTCTAAACATTATATCCCATTCTTTTGGTCCATGAAGGGCAGCTGACAAAAGCAAAAAACTATTCCTATGAATGTTTATGAACTTCTCAATTCTGTCTAAAAATAGATCTTCTGTCATCAACAACTCTTGCGTGTCTGCCAATAAAAATGCAACACCTAGAGAAGACATGAATTACGGCTTAAATTACTGGCTTCTTATTTCATGGTTTAAATAAATAAAGTTGAACTTTCTTGCTAAATAATCAGTAAACAGAGCTCAACTCCAGCATATATTCAATGGCACAAGAATACAAGGTGTACAAGACTATAAGTCAGTTCTCATGCAGTAATGCAATTCCCATTGCGTTAATGTGCAAGCCATTTCAGAAGGAAATGATATCACAAATTGACAAGCCTGCAATGGCATATTCACTGCTTTAAACTAGATTTGATCACCGAATATCTACCACTTGACCAAACCACAATTTAATACATGACTGTGAAAGCTGGCAATTCACTTAAAGGGACACAGAGATGACCAAATGTCTTTGAAAGTAAATGCCTCAGAAAAACACTAGGCATTATGGAATTAATTTCTAGAAAAATGACAAGATTAATCAGGGAGTTGAGCAATTCTGTTGCTAAGACCACCCAGAAAGGAAGAGAGAATTATATCTGAAACACATGAAGAATGAAGCCAGAGCTTCTGCTGTGGTAATTATGCTATTGTGCAGCAAGAGGAAGACACAAAAACAGGCTCACTGAAAAAATCTTTCTGTCAAATAAAAACTCAGGGAAAATGTGTGGGACTTTAATACAGGACTTGAGGCATTGGCCCAAGATAATCAGGGAAGGCTGAAGCTTCCATATGCCCAATGTGACATCTCATGGCAAAGGCAAAGGAATGATGCAGGCTAAGGATAAGCAGAACTATATATTCTCAATGCCACTTTAAATTGTTTATAGAGCAGTTGTGTTCTGAATAACAACTCTAGAAATAGCCACACAGGGTTTCCATGTTTCTGTCTTGATGATCTGTCAAATCTACTTGTTTAATCAAAATTTTAAAAGTTTCTTCCTAACTGCCAGCTCAACAACTCAGTTTAGAAGATGAAAGTCAAGCTGGTTTTCTTTTTCTTAAGCACTGTCACTAGGAGTAAAGGTTTTTACACTGAATTACACTTTAGTGACAGCTGCGCAGTCCTATTTTGCCTCAATTAGGTTGCTCAGGTGTAACCAGAATGTACTTAATAGTTCAGTTGATGTACAGAAAGAACAACACAATTCAGTCACAGTAAAGTATATGAGACCAGTGAAAATGGATAGCAACAAAGTAATTTTTATCTCTGAATTCATTAAGTCTGTCCAGGCACGCATACTGAAGTTCTGTTTTGCAAGATAATATTTTTATATACTCCTTTTTTAGTGTACTTGCAGGCTCGTGTCTGTTTTGTCCAGGCCCTCCACTTTTCTCTCTCAGGGCTCCTCTTGACAGAGAAGAGCCTTTGCAACCTTAGCACATTCACTTCATCCACTCCAAACTGGATGGAGTTTCTACAATGTAGCTTTTATGGAAATTTCTTAGGTCTGAAAGATGGTTCTACATCCCATTAGAATTTGAAAAGTTCCTTAAGAAATAAGTGCTGCAACTCAAAATTACTGTACCAGAAAGAGAGAAAATGAGGGATCCTTTTTCCACTGAATCTGAGTATCGCACTCTATGATGCTGACTCTGAAGAGATGCTGCAATTTCATGATTCTAAATAAAAACAATAACACGCAACAATATCAACCAGAAGAAATTACGATTAAAACAGATCTGAATTATATCAGGCCTTTGGGATCTTTGTTTAGGAAATCTTGTTACTATGGTAGCAATAAAAACTTGGAACATGTTACTTTTGCATAGTTGAAAAGCATATCTAATATTTGCATAATTGAGTAGCTACGATAATGGAATAGGCATGAAATACCTGGATTACAAACTTTTTTATTATTTCCTCCATTATTACTAATCTGCAATACGTTCATTTTGCCATAGAAAACACTCACATAATACATAAGGAAGCTCCTCAAACAAAGCTGCTCATAGTAAAATTTTTGTTCTTAAAGAATGATATACTGAAGGAGGATTTGTAGACAGAAGAAATGTATACCAGTATACTTGTTTGACTGAAGTTATCTAGGCTGAATTTTAATTCATAATGGATGTCAACATGTCACTTGGACAGCTGAGAAAGACTGGTTTGGATAAGCTTTCTACAAGAGCTTCACTGTAGAATGCATTCTGCACAGGGAAACAAGAACAGTGCTGCTTGCAACACAGAGATGTAACTAGCAAGTTTTACATCCTGGGCAAAAGCCTACAGGAGGCAGGCGGTGCTGAACATCAGAGAAAAAGGGGTATGGGGGAAGTGTCACTGTTACCTGCCCTGGGGACTCAAAAACCCTGGCAACTGCACCAGCACCTGGGAACTCCCATTCTGATACCCACTCTAAGTAGGCACCCACAGCGGGTTCCCTGTTTGCCCACCCCAAGTTACACTTCTGATATAACATGACTGTTGGAAGTTTAAAATTAATTAACTTCTGTACATTTTGCAACCTGAAGTAAGGGCAATGTTACAAGGTGGCATGGTCTATTTAAAAAGTTAGACTGTCAAAAAACTTGGAACCTCTTCCTAGCTTTGCTACTTTAATGTCAGGAAAGTCTCTGTTGGTATGTTTCCCCTCTGGTTAAGTAGAGATAATAATCTTTATTTGCCTTTGCAAAATGCTTTGATGAAAGGCAATATGAGTGCAAAGTATTATAATAAAAAATAAATAAATTCACCATCAACAGGCAGCTAAATTGACAGCAAGAATAAAAAGAATCAAAAGAAAATCGGAGATAACATTTTTTGCATCACTTGTCATTATGACTTCATTTTATGCTGGAACTGCAAAAGTTAAGAAGAGTAAATCATACAGGTATAATATAAGAAATACAGACTGTGTGTCAATGAAAGATAGGCCACTGGGTTGTCAGGTAGCTAAATGCCAGCAGGAGGCAACTGGAAATTTTCATGGAAGTAATATTCTCATTTGTGGCACATCCACAAGATCAGCTTCCAAGATATTACTTCAGTCTTGGGAAAAACTGTCTGCTGTCCTGGCTCTTTGGTGATAGTGCAGATGTCCTATGTAAGTACCATCACAGGTAAGAAATAAGGGTGGTTAAAGGAGGAAAAATCAAAGCCTATAACAAATAAAATAATGTGATCCAAATCACTATCTTCAGGACAGGAGAAGCTCCTTAGAGCTTCACTCCATCTATTCCCAGCTGCGGGTTCCTAGAGAACCTTTACCAGCCCATGGGTTTTAGAACAGTTGTCTCTATGTTGCCAGGGCTGACACCAAATTAGCCTAAGCATCAGGGAACTAAAAACAACCTCTTGGCAGACCCTCTCATTTTGCTGGGTAGAGAGAAGATATGGACCTGTGACAAGCAGAGTAAATGTATACTTTGATCTCCTTGAGAGCCACACAAAATTTGCAGTAAATTTTTAATCTCTCCAAGGAGCAATGCTGTATAAAAGAAGAGGAAGTCTTCAGGGAGGAGTCCAAAAAGGAAAGGACATCTTTGCTGAAATAATTAACAGTGATCAGTTAAAAATATCCACAAAGCAACATCCATGGAGCAAAAAATGGCAAGCTAGGTAAGTATTCCTGAAGTAGTGCATCTCACAACATCAAGTGGCAGGACACTGATAAGATACCAGGTATGAGGAGAAACAATACAGTAAGGAAAGTATGCAAAGAAACAAAGTAGGTTTGCAGTGATTAAAGCAGGTTTACCAGATTAATGACAACACCGTGTTTTCCTGTATGCAGTATATACTTTTGCATTGCATAAAATCTTTCATGTTATAAAATATGTGCGACATTTGACACTTGATTCAGTGTTTGTTAGGGAGTCAGATGCTGCAGTTGACTAATAACTGGCACAGTACCTGGAGAGCTGTACTCATAATAACTGTTGTGAACCATCTTGCTTTTTCCTGCCCACCACTTTCTGCCATTTTCACAGGGGTTGAATGTTCTGCAACAGAGCCACAGCTGCTGAGTCCTTCTGAAAGACTTAAAAAAACTAGCAAGAAAGTCAAAATATCAGGCACAAACTATTTACATGTGATCAGGGCATACAAAGTGCTACAGGATCCAACTGAAATCAGGGCCTAGACCCAAATCCTCAAAAAAGTTGGATTAGGGTGACCATATTTCCCCAAGTCTCAAAATGGGACTCACTGCTCCCCTCCCCCACTCATAGATTCATAGATGTTAGGGTTGGAAGGGACCTCAATAGATCATCGAGTCCGACCCCCTGCATAGGCAGGAAAGAGGGCTGGGTTCAGATGACCCCAGCTATATGCTTATCTAACCTCCTCTTGAAGACCCCCAGGGCAGGGGAGAGCACCACCTCCCTTGGGAGCCTGTTCCAGACCTTGGCCACTCGAACTGTGAAGAAGTTCTTCCTAATGTCCAATCTAAATCTGCTCTCTGCTAGCTTGTGGCCATTATTTCTTGTAACCCCCGGAGGTGCCTTGGTGAATAAAACCTCACCAATTCCCTTCTGTGCCCCCATGATGAACTTATAGGCAGCCACAAGGTCGCCTCTCAACCTTCTCTTGCGGAGGCTGAAAAGGTCCAGGGTCTCTAGTCTCTCCTCGTAGGGCCTGGTCTGCAAGCCCTTCACCATACGAGTGGCCCTTCTCTGGACCCTCTCCAGGTTATCTGCATCCCTCTTGAAGTGCGGCGCCCAGAATGGCACGCAGTACTCCATGCTGGATATTTTTATGCCCTAGGTGCAGCACTTTGCATTCTCCCTGTTGAACTGCATTCTGTTGTTTTCTGCCCACTTGTCCAACCTGTCCAGGTCTGCTTGCAGCTGTTCCTTGCCCTCCGCCATGCTTAGCTGTCTGCTAGCGATGGTCTTAGCTGAGCACCAAAAAGCAGGGGTGGGCTGGTGGGCAGAGTGCTGGAGAGTCAAGGGAGTAGGAGGGGAGTATGGGGTGCTATGACATCCTGGAGGACTGGCAATCCCCATCACGTCCCCTGTCTAGACAGCACCACCAAAAAATGAACAGGACAAAAGCAGTCATTTGACCAAACTGACAAGACACTTGGGACAGGTGCTTACAATGGTACTGTCCCTGAGAAAACCCAAATTGGGTTCTTAAATCCAGTTGATTTCAATAGGAATTAAACACTTCAGACCTGCCACCTCTGAGGATCTGAGGCTAAGTAAACTTGTTTGACCTGGGATGTCAGGGAACAAGAGACCATCAGGAAACATGTTCAAGAGAAAGATTGAAGATTTCGGGGTAAATTTACAAAAGTGCCTACATGACTTGGGAGCTATTTTGAAAGGTCACTTTTGCCATTATGTGTCTTTTTTATGCTGGTGCTTTTGAAGGTATTACCTCAGCTCTGATACAGCCCACTGAGCTCTAGCCTTGACCCACAACCCTTAGCCGTATCGCTTTCAAAGATCATTCTAGATACAACAATATGTCAAGGGAGGCTCTAAGCAGCTGAGGGGTGGGGATGGGGGAGGGGTGGGGGGGAGTTTAAGGTCCTAGACAGCCTCCTCAGGCTCCACTGACTGGTTCTCTGTGGGACCTTGGCCCAATCACTCAGCTCCCCACCAGTAAAAAAAAGGGTTGAAAAATGCTGCCTTCCTCACAGAAGGCTGGATTTGTTACATCTCATCGTGCTATGAGATCCTAAATGAGTCTTGGTGTTAAGTTCCCTTTGAGGAAGTTTTCTTTTCTGCTTTCCTCAGTTCTGGAGGCCGTGCACAGGCCTGCTAAGGACACAGGCCAGGCACTGACTCATAGGCACCAGCGCATGTGGCTTCCCGCTCTTCTCCTCTCAGAAGTCACTTTGGAGGTGGGACTTGGGGGCGTCGGCAGCCCTGTCCTGCGACTCAGGCAGCACTACCCCGTGTTGCAGTCTCACCCTCCAAGCAACAGCTGCCCACAGATATGCCAAGGAGAAGTGGAGGAAGGAGACCACTAAGAAACTGGGGACTTCTAGCTTATTCAGTCACTAACTGAACTCTTTCTGCCCCTTTGAAAGCCTTAGAAGTACCAAAATCCTTGTGGTGACCAGTGGCTTTAGGGGAAATTGTTTACACACTGACTAGGCAGTGCTTGTGAGGGCTCCTGCCACTTTGGTATAAGAGCAGCTGTCACTTGGGCCAGGTCTTGGGCAAACTTGAGGCTTTTGATGTAAGCAACCTGCCTCATTCAAACCCAGCTTCTCTCGGCAGTATAGGAAGCTAAAAAAAATAAATAAATATTGCAGCTCTTTTACAGCCAAGAAATAATTTCTGTTGCTGTTATGTGAATTGGGAAGATGGTGGAGCTCAAGAACACAGCTGCCTTCTCCGCACCCGCACCTGCTCCCGACTGTAGCCACACGTCTTCTCTTTTACATTGCTTTGAGACTTGTGGGGATAGGGGCTCTCACTGAGATGCTGCTGAAAATCCCATGGCTTTAGACGTTTTCCTAAGAAGTCCTTTAGAAATCTAAGTCTTGGTTCAGAAAGCTTATACAGGTATGATTCTGGGAGCTATTTGGGAGATTTAAAGAATTGCTGCTAAGTATAGACACCTGGGGAACTTCAAATATAAGAAAGTACTGAAACAAAGGAAAAATATGCAATTCAAGTTAATTTTCTTGTGCTCAGGAAAAACAAAGAGAAAAAAAAATAACACTGTAACATTATAGTGATGTTGTAGCCCTGATGGTTCAAGAATTATGTGAGGCAAGCAGTTTTTAACTTAAATTGTTAAAAAATACCACTCCAAGAAAAATACCACCCCTTGCCTTTCACATAAAAAAAGATACAGACACCTACCTATCCAGTTGCTGCTGTCATAGAGTGTACCCAATGTTCTCCATGGCCATTTATGTAGGCAAGATTTATATAGACAATAAAAAGATTTTAAAGCAAGAGGCAGAACCTTTTCTGAAGTGGGTGGTGGCACAGTACATTTTTTGGTATGAATTATAGAACGAGAATCAGTGATTTGTAGAAGCAAGTAAGCTTTAGCATGAAGGGCCATCATGACACCCTACTTGATAAAAGCAGATTTTTCTTCCCCCTCCCTGCTTTTTTTTTTTTTTTTTTTGCAGGAGAGGAAGTAGAATCACCTTGGATTGTCTGTTTCTATCAAATCAGATGCACCAGAACATACTTGTCAGTGCTGAAGGTGGTTAGAATTTGTAGTCTGTACAAGCAAGTCCAGTCCATATTTTTGTATTACATAATTTTAAAGTCTTTAAAATATTTTATATCCCATGCAGATTAATATATCAAAATAAGGGAGGAGAACAAATGCAATTCTCTCTGTGTGTACTGCAGCTACATTCCGATGTTTTCTTTACAAGGTGGGTAGGATGCCACCAAGAAAATGCTAAATAATGCACCCACTCATATAATAGACAGAACCTGTGGGCACATCCAGCCGAGCGCAGACATGTGGTATGTGGTGCCACAGACCCATCTGTGGCGCCACACACTGCACATACAGGCATTCCCTGAGCTGCTACTTTGCAGACAGGGGTGGGGGGTTTGGCACCAGGAGATCTTGGGGTCAAAAAAACCCATGCCAAAAAGAAGTGGGGAGGTGCTTGTGGCAGCAGTGTGCAGTGCCAAAAACCAGAGTCTGGCTGGCTGGAGTCATGCTCAGGCTGCCAGCCAGGCTTCCTGCTGCAGGAGCATCATGCCTGCAGCTCCCGGATACCCCCAGGACCCCAGATAAGGCTGCTGAGGCCAGCACAGTTGCTGGCCCCAGCCTCGCCTATCCCACTCCGGGTAACCAGAGCATGCATGTCACAGGCTTTCCCCAGGGGACAAGCTGCTTCAACTTGTCTCTTGGGGAAACGCACATTCCCGCTCATCTGGATGTGCCCTCTGTGTCTTTTCTCATTCCTTGATGTAGTAATCACTGTTGGGAACAGCACCAGGGATAGTCTTAGGTGTATTCTAGAATAATGAAGGACATTTTATGACAGATTGAAAGTCCAGTGGATTATTTATGTGCTAAAACAGTGCTGTTTTGGATTTTAGAGTATATGCAGACTAGTTCTTAAGTTAAGCTAAAAGCAGATCGGTGGCACCATATTGGGAGTGCACAGTAGAGATTGTTTTGTTGTAGATAATCTGCCAGATTTGTAACACTGGGCTGCTTCTGAACTCAGATTTTGGAACTTGTCTAACACAAATATGCATTAATGAGAGGGATCAGCTCCTGTGCTGAATCCCAACAAATCATAGGGTAGGCTTATTAACAGGTAACTGAAGGAACTTGTATCTTTCTTCATTTCTGGAATACTCCTACAAATGTTTAATTTCTTTGTGTCACAAAGAAATCATAGGCTTCATCTCTGAAAACCAGGTGCCACCAATAAAATACCCAACAGCGTGTGTCCAACAATGAAGAGTTTTTGCCTTGGATCTTAGCATGTATACCGCTACGGCAAAGGGCAGGTTGCATTTACATTATATATATAAAAATGGTAAGGCTGGAATATATTCTAGGCTAAGAATGCCTACTTGAGAAGTGATGACATGCAATAGGTAGAGCACTACCGTGGCTATCAGAAGACCAACATTCTGTTCTCAGCTTTGCCATTACTTTACTTTCTGCACTGTGGCAAGACATTGAAATTCTGTAGTCAATATCCATAGCTGTATAAAAGAGGATGATGAAACTTACCTACTCCTGTAGAGTGCTTTGAGATCCACATATGAAAATACCCAGCTCAACAGAAGTTGGTTTGCTTCAGGAACGCAACACTAATTATTATATTTCAATTTGCATTAATGGCATGTGTTAGAATCTCTCTCAATTTCAGATGCCAAAATGTTATAATGAAAAATTAAATCGTATATATTACTGCCTGCTATGTTCTTGGATTATACTTCAAATATGAAGCATGAAAATCAATGAAAATACATTAGGTAAGCAGTATCAGACTCCCAGAGTCAATGAAGAATGGCATGCAGTACAAGAATAGGTTGAAATCTCTTGGGAGAGGCTGAGCTATGCCATTTCATTAGAGAATACAAGCACTACTAAGATTCTGTTTTTTCAGATTCTAAGCTCTGTAATGGCTGTAATGTAAAGGCAATATCTTTAAAAATTGTAGCAAATACACCGTTTTTAAAAGGGAAGTGGTTAAAGAAGAGAACTCATAGTTCTCTCTAGTGTTCAGTGTTTTGTCTCTACTTTTGAATTCTCAGGATCCCTGGTCTTATTGTTGAAATATGTTGCACCTAGAAAAACACAAAACAGTACACAATATATACAGATTTGCCCAGGTAAAACATCAAAGTTAGACCAGGGATCTCAATTTCTCCTTCCTGTTGTTTTCATTGTGACCTTGGTTAGCAACCTCTTTGTCTTATGTATGCATCACGAACATTAACTAGTTCACAGTCTTGTCCCAAAGTATTAAGTAATGTTGTGAAATGACTACAATGCTGACATTTGCATGTTTTTATTTCTTCTTAAAGCTGTATGAATTGATATGCTGCAGCTGTACTAGAGCCAGATGCAACTGTTTCTGTTGCATATGGTACTCAAGAATACCCCTCATTTCATTCCTCACCAATTCATTCATTTTTACAGCATTAAACCTCCCCATATATGTATGAGAATCTAAACTCATGGGTTCTGTTCTATAATAATAATAAATGCCAATAAGCCATTTAAAAAAAATAAATATAATTTGAAAGCACTTTGAATTAACTTGCTGGAGAAAAGTATTTTAAATCACAAGAAACTTATTATTGCTAACCCTAAAATAATTCTGTTCTTTCCTCTCAGCACTACTGAGAAAGTATTTTTTTAAATTTTAAAACTAGTTTAGATTGTGCAATGACACTTTTACATTTTAGTAAAAAGAATGATTAAGCTCTAGGTCCAATCTAGGTTTGTCCGAAATGCTCTTTACTTGAGCACCTATATAGACCTTATTCAGGGATGAGTGAGGGAACTACACTTTTTAAATATAAATACTTAAATTAGGGGGTGATTTCATCCAAGGAAAGATTGCAGCATTCAGCATTAAGTTAATGTTGCTGTTCAGATGCAGAAATTAAATTTTCTAGCTTATAGGTCAAAGATGCTGAATATAAATAAGTGCAGAATCTTTTTTGACTATATATAAAATTTACATCTTGCAGAAACATAGCATTCAGACGTGACTGTTTTACCCTTGGGATAGAAGCCAGTGATGTAAATTCAAATACAATATTAATATAGAAATGTTAACCCTCACAACTAGCTAATATCATACTTTAGCAGCATGAATATTTGTTACAGAGACCATTTCTAAAATGCCCATGGGCAGATCTAGGATTTTGAAAAGGGAGGTGGGGAGGGGAAGGATGCAGATGGTGTGGCACATATAGAGCACAAACATATTTTTCTCCTGTTAAAGAGCAACTAGAAGCTTTACTAATATGCTAGGGGCCTAGCATTACATTACTCAGTTTAAGATCAAAGCAAAAATAAATATAGCTTCATTGGAATGTGCACTAATTTGCTAAATTATATAATAACTTTTAAAACACAAACTAGGCAAAGTCAAAATATATTGTTCTGCTAGTCCTGTAGTCATTTTAATTAAATGTACATCTCTTATTCAGATTAATAAAACAAAACCTAGTCTTCTTGAGTGACATGACAGTGACCCTGATATTTCAGTGTCAATCATTTCTAGACCTGAGTTAATATTACCACACCTGAATTAATGTTTTTAGCTAGAGCTAAAAACAGGTCTGCAAGGCTGTGAACTAGAAGAAAGATATTACCAGGAATGGCTATCAGACAACAAAATTACAGAAAAAAGATAATTTAAACAGTAGAACATCAAGACCATGAAAAATGAGAGAGGGTCATTTTAACTGTG